CTCCCTTACACTTCTAAAGTAAGACCATTTTACTTCAAAATAATAATAATTAATAATAATAATAATAATAAAAGGAATCGGGGCTGGAGTGATAGTACAGCAGGTAGGGCATTTGCCTTGCACATGGCCAACCCATGTTCGATTCCCAGCATCCCATATGATCCCCCAAGCACCGCCAGGAGTAATTCCTGAGTGAAGAGCCAGGAGCAACCCCTTTGTGACCCAAAAAGAAAAAAAAAAGGAAAAAAGAAATAATGCATGTCTTTTGGGGGGATGGGTCAGGGGGCATTTTGGGTCACACCCAGTGATGCTCAGGGGTTATTCCTGGCTCTGCACTCAAGAATTAGTTTTGGCTAGAAGCTAGAAGCATGTCGTTTTTTTTTTTTTAAACCAGACTTGAACATCTTCTTTGGAGGATGTGTTCAGATGGCTCTCCACCGTGGAATGAAGATCCACACCGGATCCACACTTGAACCAAACGAATGGGAGGAAAACACCAGCCGCAGCAACCCTGGGCAACGTTTTCAAATCACGACAATAACGGAAAGCCAGAACTGCTGCCGAATGCCAGGAACGGACAAAGCCAAACAGAACCAAACAGAAAGGCGGCGTCTGCGGCTGCCACAGTTGCTCCTCCCGTTACCAGGAGACGGGTGGGGTGCAGAAGAGGCCAAGGGAAGCGCCGTGGTCAAATATGGCAGGTGGGTGAACGAATGAATCTACCAGGGGCCACAATGGGCCCCTTCTAGAAACTTCCCATCCTTTGTCTAGTGACTTTTCCATCCAAACGTACAGCAGCATAGGTGAGGCCAACACAAACCATCAATTACAAACTGTCAACGGTGTCAAACTTCATATATAACACAGAGTGGAAATTAGGCTTTCCCCCTATTGATCCATCGGCAACTTGTTTCAAAATAAATTATTAGAGGGACAGAAAGAGTGTGGGTGGAAAATAAACTGTCCACAACTGGGTGATGTGTGAAAGCAAAAGTGACTGGGACCTCTCAAGGCTTCTGCAGCTTCAGGTATGGGGAAGAATTTGAGCAACTCATCTGTACCACACAGGAGAGCATCTGTGTCTCTAACTGGGGTTTTAAACAAGAGCGCAATGTCACTCATTTACAGCAGGCGTGACCAAAGATGGCAATTACAGAATCTTGGTTCTACTGAGTTTTTAAACTAGTCAAGTCATATTTGCTAGAACTAGGTTTGTTTAGCAGGAAAGGTTCAGTTAGTAAGAGATGCCAGAGTAACAGACGGGGGGCCTCTTATGGGACATCACAAACTTGCAGTCTCATTCGCTGTGAAGCTTAATGAGAATTTCGGCACTGAGGAAGATATCTGATCTACAGTTGAAGTTGTTAAACATCAACTTTGTTTGGGGCCTTACAGTGTACTTTTCTTTTTGAAAATATGTCATGTTACATATTTTCTCATGCTTACATTCCTTTTGTTTTGGGACCACACCTGGCAGTGTTCAGGTCGTATCCCTGGCTTCAGGCTCAGGATCACTCCTGGAAGTGCTTGGGGGACCATAGGAGGTTTCAGGAATTGGCTGTGTGCTAGCAAGTGTCTGACTGTCTCTACCATCTCTCAGGTCTGCTTGCTTCCATTCTTATACTGTGTTTATTGAAAAAGTCAAATAGCACGAAAGAAGAGCTAAAATACTCTGTGTTTATTGAAAAAGTCAAATAGCACGAAAGAAGATCTAAAATACTCTGTGTTTATTGAAAAAGTCAAATAGCACGAAAGAAGATCTAAAATACTTTCCTTAGTTTCTATGATCATGGTCCCCTTTACTTTGTCTTGCTAAAACGTCTGATTCTGCCAAGAACCATGAGGGCATTTCATTCTCATGTTCTCAGCTCACTGTGTAGCTAAGCAAGAAACCAAACAAACCATGACCTTTCTGATCACTGTGCCCTGGACTGTCTGCCAACACTGCAGTTCATTTTCAAAAGCAGAACACAATTTCCAGAAGCCACCACAAACCTACTTTGTTCTAAGATCAGAATCACTGCTGGTTGGTGTAGAGAACTAGGACAAAGATCTCTCGCAAACCGGGGCACAGAGCACTAACACTGCCTGGGAAGGTGTGATCATACATGCATGTAACACACGCAGTATGGAGTATATCCATGGGATCGTATGACACAGAAACAAAAGCCATGTATGATGATCGAGGGTACAATGAGTTCTGATACTGAAAGTCATCACAACAGCGACCCACGAGATCATACGGGCCATCAAGGTCCATCCGTGAGGCTGACTCTGCCTTGATCACCAGCACCCTCAGGTACCCTGTCCTCGCTGGCAGGAAATCCCACGGCTTGGGACTTTCCCTGCCTCCCCACACTACCTCCAGAAACTTGACTTGAAACCTGAACTGCTGGGGGTCAGAGAGACAGTCGGGGTTCGGTTTCCCCTCACTCCATCAGTCATCCTGGGGCACAGAGGCAGGAGGAAGCCCCCAGACAGCCACCGAACCCAAACTGCCACACCGATGGAAAAGTCTACCATCCTGATGGTAAGGCCTCGGATAACACAGAGTCATTCTTCTCACAGCTGCATGACGCCGACCGTGTGGAATTCCATGAACGACGCACAGAATCAGGAATTCTCACTCTGCGTGTTGCAGGGACCGAGGCCAGGCGAGACGAAGCGGGAGGCGGGGAAGGACAAGACTCAAAGGCTCAGGGATGGGGCTGGAGCAATAGCACAGCGGGTAGGGCGTTTGCCTTGCATGCGGCCGACCCGGGTTCGATTCCCAGCATCCCATACGGTCCCCCGAGCATCGCTAGGAGTAATCGCTGAGTGCAGGAGCCAGGAGTCACCAAGGTGGGACCTTGAGAGAGGAGACGACTGCATTTGGGGGGGCCCTGAAAAACAGGGAGCTGGGCTCGGGGATGGGCTTAGAGGGCTGCAGCACATGCTCTGCAAACAAGAGGCTGGGGATCAATCCCTGGCATTATAGGGCCTCCAAAAGTGACCCTCACCCAGAGCAGGACCTGGTGGTCACTCCTGCCCCTCCAGAAAGTCAAGATCTGCTGCCCACACCCACAGACGACAGGAGAAATAGGGAAAGTGGCAGGTCCCCGCTGACAGGCTCATTTCAGCTTCCCCAGAATTCACAGCACCTGTAACTTAATCCCTCCGCAAGCCATGAGCTCATCCTTTGTCTCTACATGTCCAGACATACTTTCGTGTCTTTATTTATTTTCACACAGAAGGTGACTAATGAGGTCGAAAATAGATTTTTACGGCGAACGAGGACAAAGGGGAAAAGGAAGTTATCCCGTAAGTAACCTGCAGCTCCCAGTCGGTCCTTCCTAAGGGGGTTCCCACCCCACCCACCTCCAGGTCACTCTGCCGCCAGACGCGTGGGGTGGAGCACAACTATAGGCTCCTGCCCCCGGGAGGACTGAGGCTCAAGAGACACACATGATGGGGCTGGAGCGGTAGCACAGCGGGTAGGGCGTTTGCCTTGCACGCAGCCGACCCGGGTTCGATTCTCAGCATCCCATATGGTCCCCTGAGCATCACCAGGAGTAATTCCTGAGTGCAGAGCCAGGAAGTAACCCCAGAGCATCGCCGGGTATGACCCAAAAAGAAAAAGAAGAAAAAAAAAAGAGACACATGTGAGCACTGTGACCGGGAGTGCACCCCACAGCAGGCAGAGCAAGGATGGGCACTCACACAGCGCCCCTCCTGGCGAGCACGTGTGCAAAGTGTTAAACAATCCCCATGTTCCCGTCCTGCACAAGCCCAGGACACAGCCAGATGCCGGAGGCCCAGGGCAGCACGACCTGGTGATGGCAACAAGGACAGCCACGGAAGGAGGTGAAAAAAAACACCCAGGAATTTGGGTCCGTGGTGTCAGCTGGACGGCAAAGTTTCTTTCTCTCTCTGTTTCTAGGAAATCATGCTGCATTAGATTCTAGGGTTCCTTATCAAGGCCTGCGATGACAGAATATACCAGAGGCTTTTATTCACCCCAGAAAAGACAGAATAACTGACAAGAAGGCATTATGCTGGTGTAGTGGAAAGATCATACAGACCACCTCACTCTTTAGTTTTATCTTGGGGGTCGCACCTGGCGTGCTCAGGGGCTGTTCCTGATGGTTCTCTGCGGCCTGAACTCAGGCTGGCCTGCATGGAAAGTGTGTGCTCAGCCCCTGAGCCATCTCCACAGTCCAACTTCACTGCCCATAAAGGGTGATGCCAATCGCATTTATAATCTCAGGACCACCAGCTCAAGCTGAGGCCGTGTCTAGCTTGCAGACGTGTCTGGTCTGTGATCTTCTAGGCTGTGCTTTTGGAAAAATAAAAATCAAATGAGCTCCTCAAATTCTTGAAATCAAAAAGATCAGGTGCTGGAGAGATAGAACAGTGGGTAGGGTACCTGCCTGGCACATGGCCAGCCCAAGTTCGATCCCTGGCACTCCAAATAGTACCCTGAGTTCAACGGTGGGTCTGGGGAGGGAGGGGTAATTCCTATGAACAGAGCCAGGAATAAACCTTGAGCATTGCTGGGTGTGGCCCAAAAACAAAATTAAAAAAAAAATTAAAAGATCATTCACACACACACACACACACACACACACACACACACACACGAAATTAAATATAGGGGTTCTCCTGAAATGCCAGTAACCATCTGCCTCACCGGTCACCATTTTCCACAAGGAGCCAAGAGGCTCTGACTTCCACTATTTCAGTGTGTCTGGTGAGGGCTCTCCCACTCCTTCAAACTCTCTCTCCAGTTCCTGGCACTCCTTATGATTTTGATTTTCTGCCCTAGAGATCAAAGACTTCAAAAACAAAAGCAAAAGCGCCACCAAGGCACCCACATACAGCATCACAATAATGAAACTATCCACAGTTAACCTGGAACTGCTTTGCTTAAGGAAGCGGACAGGCCTGCCGGCACGTCTAGTCCTGTTTCCGCATCAGAGGCAATGGCAGTTCACTGAGTGACGCGGCCCGGTCGACCGTACCTTTTCTGTCTGGCTTGAGGTTCCGATCCACGGGGGGTGGTTCACAGTCTGCCACGGGAACGGGCCTTCTGGGAGGGGTCTTGGGGCTGGACCTGAAGCCCATATGGGCGGGAGGAGGCACTTGCATCCCGAATGAAGAAAAGTCAAATGTCCCCGGAGTCATGGGCACGTAATTTGCTTCCTGCAGGGGTTCTGTAAAGCTGCTGGAATGTTGTCTTGGCGGAGAGTTGGGGTTCATGGGGACATAATTTTCATCCAGCTCCTCACTCGATACACTTCCCACTGTCGACACACTTTTGATTTTCTAAAACACAGACAACATTTCTTTTATAAAAGGGAGCCAACAGGAAGACACAATTGTTAAGTCACGGCTACTGATCTGGCGCTAAGGGAACAGACTCCACGATCTCACTCAGTCTTGGGGCGCCAAGGGCAAAGATCGAGACACAGTGAAACGTGCCGGAGGGCAGCAAGGCCGGAGGATACTTACAAAGTGGTTATGGAAGCCTTCAAGTGAGCTGGATCTATCACTTGGAAATGTTCGTGGAATATCGTAGCAGTCTTGAGGACCCGCATCTGAAATAGAGAGCGAACCCATCAGCTTCTCACCCAGCCCTTGGGAAAACCAGGAATGACCTGCTGTCCCCTTGCCCTACACTCAAGCACACAGGGACGCATGCACGCATGGACACTTGTAAAGGATGCATATACAACAGCGCTGGCACACTGAACGCCAGAAAACACAGCCACGTGCAAACCAACACTATCGAGGAAGACGACCTCCAGGATGAGGCGAGTCATGGAACAATGGGAGAAGAAAGATAATCAAGAACCAGGAGACCGGGGGTGGGGGTGGGGCGGGGCAGAGATGCTTGTCAGCCTGGCCAAGGCAGGAGCAGGTGGGGGTGGGGGTGGAGGGGTCCTGATTAACAGTCTGGAGTGCCCAGATTGCATTGTTGTTGTTGCTCCTGTTTGGGTCACATGCTGTGACTCAGAAGTCACCTCTGGGAGTGCCCACATGGGTGCTGGGGATTGAACCCGGGTCAGCTACATGCAAGGCAGAGACGGACCACCGGCTGGACTACCACTCTGCCCATTGCCCCAGTTGAATTTAAATATAAAATAAATATAAGCAACCAAACTGAAGGTGCATGGCTGGAGTGAAATGGAGTAAATCCACAGCGGGAAAATGGCTCAGCCCAGAGGGAAGGAAAATAGCCAATAGTGAGGACTGAGGTGCCTGGAGTACAGATACTGGGGGCAGGACTCCACAGGGGTTCACTTCCTGTCCTCGCCCAGCAGCTGCCACCTGGAGGCAGAAGAGGGGAGCACGAGCTGAATACCTGGGAGGCGGGAAGCGTTAGGGTGCGGCCACTGAAGCCCTGCAGCTCTTCCCACTGGGCCACGGAGGCTGGCTGGGAGATGCTGTGCTGGGCCACGAAGGGTTAAGTGCTTGCCCGCAGCCGCCCTGGGTTCAAACCTCAGCACTGTTGAGGGCCCTCCAGACCCAACAAGAGTGCTCCCTGAGCACCACCAGGTACAGACCCCACAAACAAAAGCAAATACAGGGTCCAGAGATACATACGGGGGCGGGGGGTTGGGTTAGGCAGTTGGTGGCCTGGCATGAGGCTGACCCCAGATTTAGCACCCCACAGGGTCCCCCAAGCATGAGGAGGGGCCACTTCTGAGCCAGGCACAGACCCTGCGTAACTTCAGGTGTGGCCAAAACAAACCAATGGGCCGGGACGATCATCCAGCGGGGAGGGTGTTTACCTTGCACGAAGCCGACCCAGGTTCCAGCCCCAGCATCCCATATGGTCCCCTGAGCACTACCGGGAGTGGTTCCTGAGTGCAGAGCCAGGAGGAACCCCTGAGCATCCCTGGGTGTGATCCAAAAATCCCAAAAAAAGTTTTTAAAAAGACCCAAAACAGTCTGGAGCTATAGCACAGCGGGGAGGGCATTTGCCTTGCACTTGGTTGACCCGGGATCGATTCCCAGCATCCCATAAGGTTGCCCCACTACTGCCAGGAGTGATTCCTGAGTGCAGAACCAGGAGCAGCCCCTATGCATCCCAAAAAGAAAAAAGAAAAGAAGACCTGAAACAAACAACAATACTGGTCCAGATTCCAGAGAGAGAGAGAGAGAGAGAGAGAGAGAGAGAGAGAGACAGGGGCTGCAGAGATAGCAGGGCAAACTTGGGTTCCATCCCCTGCACCCCACATGATCCCCAAGGAGTGATCCGTGACTGCAAAACCAGGAGTCAGCCAGGAGTCAGCCCTGGGCCCCAGCAGAATGTGGCCCCCAAGCAAAACCAAAGCAAGAGGAAGAAAGATGTGGGCTGGGCTGCGGGGCCCTTCCCCAGGGCTCTGGGGGCCCCTCGCGGCTGTGCCCCCCACCCCCGACCCACGTAGCAGGGTGCCTGGGCTGACCTTTGCGCAGCTTGTGGAGGTCCCCCGTGGACGTGGCGGCACCCCTGGAGGGCGGCGGGCCGGAGGGTGGGACGCAGTAGCCGGGCTCCAGGTCCGAGGGGCCCGTGCGGTCAGCCGGGGAGCAGCGGTCGTGGGCCGGGTGGGGCTTGGGGGGCCGCGGGGGCGGCACGTCGGGGATGGGGTCCAGCTTGGCGCCGTCGGGGAAAGTCCGGGGTATCTGGTAGGTGCTGCCGGGCGTCGGGGGGATGTCGTAGCTGAGCGACAGGTGCCGCAGGTGTGCGTCCACGCTGGGCGCGCCCGACGGCGTGTTGAAGACGTACAGGTCGCCCTCGTGGGCCGCCGGGTCCGTGGCCGAGGGGGACCCGCGGGGCAGCACGTCGTGCGAGAAGCTCCGCGGCAGGTGGTACAGCCCCGCATCCCCCACCGACACGGATGCGGCACGGGAGGGCGGGGAGTCATACACCATTGGCGGGAAGAAGCCGTTGACGGCCGCATGCTTCCCCGGGACCACTGCTGCGGCCGCCTTGTCGGGTCCGTCGGGGTCCCCCGGAGCCGCTGCCGCCTTGGCAGAGTCTGCGACCACCACGTGCGTCCTGCAGGGGGGAAGGTGGAGGGGGAAAAAAAAGCAGGGACGTGAGCTCAGCTGGCCACGGCAGCTGGGGTGCTGCGGGGGACTGTGCCCATTGGAAGGCAGGGCCTTTGAGTATCATTTTTAATTATTCTTCTTGGCAGATGGGGGGGGGTCTGTGTGTAATCCATGAGGTTTATTTATTTATTTATTTTGCTTTTGGGGTCTCACCTGGCGATGCACAGGGGTTACTCCTGGCTCCGCACTCAGGAATTACCCCTGGTGGTGCTCAGGGGACCATATGGGATGCTGGGAATCGAACCTGGGTTGGCCGCATGCAAAGCAAACGCCCTACCTACCCGCTAGGCTATTGCTCCAGCCCCGATCCATGAGATTTAGAGGAAGCGGGAAGATCTGTTTGCTCTTTAATGATTGTGCACCAGACCACAAGGCTGACGACTCGGGACATGGCAGAAGCACAACATGATGGCTTGTTCCTTCCGGCCCCTGTTCCCCCGTGGACACGCATCTCGGTGTTTCCCCCCAGGAAAACACATCTCACTTGAGTGTGTTGAGGTCTCTGGGTGGTTTTGTTTGTTTTGGGGTTTTTTTGGGGGGAGGGGGTCATGCCTGGCGATGCTCAGGACTTACTCCTGGCTCTGCCCTCAGGAATCACTCCTGGCGGTGCTCAGGGGACCAGATGGGATGCCAGGGATGGAACCCAGGTGGGCCGCATGCAAGGCAAACACCTTCCCTGCTGTATTATTGCTCTAGCCCTGGTCTCTGAGGTTTTATTTCCACTTCGGAGAAGCCCGTGTTCTCTCCTGAACACAGATTTATCCCCTTCTGCCCCCCCCCCCCCCCCCCCCCCCCGTCTAAGTAATTTTCATTCAATAAAAACTATCTTGCTTCAGGGACTGGAGAGACATTATGGTGGGGAGGGCATTTGCCTTGCAAGCAGCTGACCCAAGTTTGATCCCTGGAGCCCCGTATGGTCCCCTGAGCACCACCAGGAGTGACCCCTGAGCATTACCGGTGTGGCCCAAAAACCGATAACCAAAACCAACCATCTTCTCACACAGACACACAAGACACAGACAAACTCTCTCTCTCAACTCTCTCTCTCTCTCTCGCTCGCTCTCGCTCTGTCTCCCCCCGCTTGCTTTCTGCTCTGTGCTTTCCATCCCACACCTGCCCACTCTGCCAACACCATATAATTCAAGGCACCTGTAAGACCAACACACTCCCAGAAGTGCAGGGAGGACACGTAAAACCCCAAGGATGGCCAACAATGATGGTCCAACACAGGAAAAGCCTTTCCTCTGAAGAACGTGCAGGAATCCTGCATGTCCCAGAATGGCTGATGGGCGGACCCTTAGCTCCGGAACCCCTCTGTGCTGGGCTGCTGATCTGGGTGATAAAGCACTGGCACCAGTACCCAGGCATGGAAATCAGCTCAACGAGCCCTGCAAGAGGTCATACTCGGCAACTACCCAACTCTTACGTAAGCAGTCCGTACCTTCCTAGCACCTAGCAAAATCGAGGGCACACAGTAGGTGCTTTACAAACACTTGTGCCTGAACCATCAACTCTGTGAAACACAGACACAGAATAGAACTGAACAATGATTCTGGACATAATTTCTGCAATAGTAAAGTGGCGACTCAAGGACACAATAAAAAGGGACATTTACTACACACTGCCATTTGGCTATGGGCTTTAAAAATGTTGCTTTTGGGCCAGGCTGGTGGCTGGGTAGGAGGCCCTGGGGTGCTCCCAGACCCAAGGAATGAGTGAAGGAACAGCTGGTACTGAAAAACTAACTCTGGTGACCCACAGAATAAAACTGTAGTTAGTAGCATAGGTAACAAACTTACAAATGTGCAATTTTAAATACTCACAGCAAATCAAGCAAAATCGAGTTAGAATTTGATATTATTTACTACAATGGACTTATAGAAAAAAAATTGTTTTTTCCGCTCGTACAGGTAAAATCCCATTATAACAAATACAAAGAAACCCATCTTTGGATTGTTTGTGAGTCACTTCTATTATATCAGGGAAAGGCTCACATAAAGCTGTTGTGTGGATTTTAATAAACGCAATATAAAAATTTTTAACAAGCGCTTTCATGAGCTACACCCAGAAAGTCACTATATATATACTTGTAATAAAAACAGGGCTTAAAAATAGCTCACAGCCTTGTTTAAAACACACCCCCACTTCTATGCCATTGACCCCCACTGCTATGCTGCAAATTAAGAAAATAAATATCCCAAATGATTAAGGCCAATAGTCACAGAGTTGTCAGTGGCTGAGACAGGCCCCTGATCAGAATTTTCTGGCTCTTTTTTCCAACAGTAAAATTCCCCCAACCAGGGGCTAGAGTGAGATAGTACAGCAGGTAGGGCATTTACCTTGCACACAGCCAACCTGGGTTCAATCTCCAGCACCCCATATGGTCTCCAGAGCCTGCCAGGTGTGACCCCTGGGCGCAGAGCCAGGAGTGATCCCTGAGCACAGAGCCAGGAGTGATCCCTGAGCACAGAACCAGGAGCAAGCCCTGAGCACCACCAGGTGCGGCCCTTCAAAAAACTAACCCCTCCCCCTCTTCTTCCATTCTCACTGTTACCTTGATCACATCCTTTTTCTACATCAAAAATCTATAAAATCAAGGCTGGTGGCAGGTGCTACCTCACTGCTGGGTATGACAGCTCCAAAGCTTCCCAGTTACTAGCCCTGCTTTAGATCTCCTCGACTTTCCTCTTCTAATTAAGTCCATGTGTGCGCTGAGCACCTGCTGGGCTGGGATTTTACCTGCGGGCTTCATTTCTCACACAGATCCAAAGCAACCACAACACACTCACTGCAGCGGACTCGCTTTGCTTTCAAAGTCCTCCAGGAGCAGGTACTCATCTCCATCTTCAGAGACAAAAGAGGACCCTGGGCTGCTTTGCAATCACATAAGAAACGGAGCGAGGTCACCGTGGGGGGCCAGGCGGGGCAATCCGCTCAGCAAGTCACACTGGGGGGGTGTGGAACAAAGACTGGGACCCAGGAGGTGGTACCAGAGAGTAGAGACTGTGCTCCTCCAGAACCCTGGTGAGGGAGACTGAGGGAACTTAGGAGAGCGCCATCCTAGCCACAGCCACGGAAGTGTCTTTCTTGTGGGGGTATCTCCTGGGGGTGCTTACCTGGCGGGTTCGGGCTTCTTGCTCTGGCAGTTGATGAGCAGGAGGTAGTCTTGAGGGTCCTCCTGGAGGCCCAGCGCGTCCAGCTGGGGCGGAGAGCTGATGAGCTGGTAGGGGGGAGGCGGGGCGGCCGCGGGGACATCCCCCTGCAGGGACAGTGGGGCTGTGCTGACGGCTAGCGGCAAATCGGCCGGTGCCTGCAGGGAGCCGCCCGGTGGCTTCACGGGATCTGCAAAGGGCAGAGAGGAGCCATGAGGTTGGAGCGTGTGCATAGCGCAATGTGCATGGAGTATGTGCATGGAACGTGTGCATGAAGTGTACAGCATGGAACATGGGAATGGACTGTGCATGGAACGTGTGCACGGCATCCACAAAAGCAGAGCCTGACCGGGATGGGCATCAGCGCACACAGGCTTTGTTCTTGCTAGTTCTTGCCAGGGCCAGGGTGAGGGGTGCAGGCAGGTGGGGCTGAGGTCAGCCACACGCCAGGCAAACACCTTCACCCCCAAACCATCACTCCAGCCCCCAAGTGGGCGACATTTCTGTGGGGAAAAAACACTCTCAGAATAGGCCTCAAGGGCCCGGAACTGAGGCGGCTGGAACTGAAGATGTGTCTGCACTGCAGCGGGGGAGATAGCGTCCCCTCAGGGCCCTCTGTGCCCCCCCAGAAGGCAGGACCCCGGCAGCAGGGCAGCTACCGGCCTGCACTCTGTTGTCCTTTTTATTCGATTCTTTCAACTTTGCAGTGACCTTTGGGGAGATGCTTTGAATTCCAGGGCCGCTGAAAATAAACGCTCCACCCCGTTTGGAGAAAAACATCTTCCCTTCAGCTCACAAATTCCCCAGCTCTCCGGTGGGGTTCTGTGGCACCTTCGGGAGAAAGGGGGTTCGCAATGGCCAGGGTGCCCTGTGCTCCGAGAGGCTACCTGGAACTCAGTGCAAGGGCCCTGGCCACGCATGTGGGGCACCCCCAGCTCTCAGAAAAATGAGAAGAGTCATGCGGGAAGGACTCTGGGCAACACGTGGGAAATCTGGACACAAACTACCATGATCACGACACAACCAAGTAAGATTTCAAGGGTCCCCCAAGAAATTCCGTTAGTCTACTTAGACAACGCTGTAACAATCCAGGAAAATAAGGCAAAGGCCCACAGGCCCGCAGGGCGAGGCAAAGGGTCTGGAGTAGGACCTGGTCAGGCCCCAGCACAGGAAGTCAAATCCCCCGTGTCTGAATCACATCTGCTCACTGTTTATGCGAGAAAAGGTGGGTTGAAATGGAGATTCTTCACAATGAAACATCACCTAAAGGGCGCTTGAGGGGCTGGAGAGATAGCACAGTGGGTAGGGCGTTTGCCGTGCACGCGGCCGACCTGGGTTCGATTCCCAGCATCCCATATGGTCCCCTGAGCACCGCCAGGAGTAATTCCTGAGTGCAGAGCCAGGAGTAATCCCTGTGCATCGCTGGGTATGACCCAAAAAGCAAAAAAATAAATAAATAAAAAAAATAAAGGGCGCTTGAGAGCAGGGAGGGAGTTCCATGGTCGCACGCACAGAATCTAAAGCGAGTTTCCCGCGGTTTGTTTTTTGTTTTTGCTTTTGTTTTAAATTTTATTGAGTCACCGTTGGGCTGGAGCGATAGCACAGAGGGTAGGGCGTTTGCCTTGCACGCAGCCAACATGACCAACCCGAGTTCGATTCCTCTGCCCCTCTCAGAGCCTGGCAAGCTACCCATGATGTATTCGATATGCCAAACACAGTAACAAGTCTCATAATGTTACTGGGCCCTCTCGAGCAAATCGATGAACAATGGGAGGACAGTGACAGTGAATCACCGTGAGATAGTTACAAGCTTTCATGTTTGGGTTACAATCACACAATAATCAAAAACTCATCTGTCTACCAGTGCACATTCCCCACCACCAATATCCCTGGTACACCCCCCTTTCCCACCCTCCCCTTGCCTCCATGGCAGACATGATTCCCCATACTCTCTCTCTACCTTTGGGCATTATGGTTTGTAATACAGACACTGAGAGGTCATCATGTTTGGTCCTTTATCTACTTTCTGCACACATCTCCCATCCTGACCGGTTCCTCCAGCCATCTTTTTCCTAGTGATCCACTCTCTATTCCAGCTGCCCTCTCTCCTTTGCTCCTGAGGCAGGCTTCCAGTTATGGAGCAATCTTCCTGTCCCGTGTATCTACTATCCTTAGGTTAACCCATGCTTTGAACACCACAGTCCACACAGCTCTGCCCCCTTCTCCCCTCCTGAGGTTGGATCTGTATCCGTGGGCGCCATGAGGGTAGCAAAAAGGATCTAGACTCCTCTAACCCTCTGTGCCTTCCAGGGGAGTCAGGGTTCAGCACATTTCTCTCAACAAAGACACCCCGTGGCAACTCTCTCTGCCCACACCAGCCTGGCAGGGGCAGGAGGGATCCACGCCCCAGGTTTGCAGGGGTTATCTATGCCCCAGGTGTGCAGGAACCCTTCATGCATACAAGTGATTTGGTATTTGCTCCTCAGAAACTCATGTGGTCTACAAGATGTCAATGGAGATTGAAAACTTCCTCCCACTGGAGCATCTGACCTGAATAAAGAAGCTGGACTCATTTCTACCTGGGATGTGAGGGAGGAGTGGACCCTTCCTGATGGACCTGGTGGCTGTTCCCTTCTCGGTGCTCAGGGGCCCAATGGTGCCGGGGAGTGACGGCTGCATGCAAAGCCAGTGCGCTGAGCTGCCTGCCCCGGACTCAAGTTCTAACTTCATCTTCACTTGCTCCACACAAAGTCAAGTCCTCATACAAAATCCATGTGGAGGGGAAAGGGAGCTGGGGAGAGTCCGTTCCTTATTATTTATTCGAACAGAGGAGTGTGAGAACTGAAAAATCCATCTTTGGACATTTCTATCACCATTTCATGGGGAACTATGTTTAATCGAGGCAATTATAGAAACTGTATGTAACATACCCTGTGAAATGATTTTTTGACTGAGTTACAAACATACAGAGATTTATTTAAGGGGATTTAAGATGCCCTGGATCGTAAATCCTCGGGATTGTGAAACTTCAGAGAACTATGTAAAATATTTACCTTTCAAAGAGGAGCTTACGAAGAGATGAGGAGAGTGCCTGGCTGACTGCACGGGACAAACATAAAGGGGACACAGAGGGCGAGGGAGGAGCAGGCATGGAGATTGGGACCTTTCTGGGCAGTAGCACATCCTCGGGCCATTGAACCACCAGCATCACCGGGAGTGAGCCCTGGGCGCCTCCAACAGGGCTTGGGGAGGAAGAAGGGAATGGAAGGGTGGGGGAGGGGAGGAGAGGGGAGGGGAGGGGAGGGGAGGGGAGGGGAGGGGAGGGGAGGGGAGGGGAGGGGAGGGGAGAAGGGGGCTGGGTATCAGGATGGAAAGGTTCTGCAGTCTTTCCTCTAAAGACTCTGTTCATAAAATGGTATATGATCCTGTTCAATTTTTTGTTTTAACCTGAGCAAAATAAAGTCAAAGATTTCTAAAATCACTTTCCCGGGGCGAGAGTGCAGGGCTGACTACAGAGGACCCGGGTTCAATCCCAGCTACATGGGGAGCTGCAGAGCACTGTTGGGGGAACACACAGAAACACAAAGACACACAAACACAACAAACACACAGACACATAGACACATAGACACACACAAAGACACACAGACACACACAACAAACACACAGACACAGACACACACACAAACACACACACAGACACACACATAGATACACAGACACACAAACACACAGACACACATAGATACACACAAACACATACAGACCCACACACACACATAGATACACATAGACACACAGACACACACAGACACAGACACACACACACAGATACACACAGACGCAGACACAAACACACATACACATGCACACACACACCCCCTCCAAACCATCGGGGTGTGCTTCAGCAGCTTAGCAGCAGGCCATCCAGAGATGCCTGGGCTCCATCTCAGCATCACTGAGACCAAGAGAAGGCAGAGCTACTGCCCCACCCCGGGCCTGGCCCAGGCGCCACCCCGACATAGTCCCTTTAGGGCCACTCCTGTTAACGAGGATCTGACGTAGATCTGACAGACACGTGAGCACTGCACATCAGACTGTGTTGCCTAGAACACATGGGCCTGGGAGGACCCTCTGGCCGGCTCCACCTCCACCCCCCGACCTCTCCCCGCTGCCCGCGCTAGGTAGCGCCCACATCCGGGCCCCAAGACGCAAACTTCAGTTTGGGCTTGCTTGTGTGTGTCAGAATTACTTCCTGCCTCTGCTCTCCCAAGGCCTGGGGAGTATAATTAGTCTCCATTAAAGGTCTAATAAGGTGCCGGAGCAAAGTCTTAATTGAATTTTACTTAAAAAGCTAATAAGCATTGCCCGGGCACCCTTAACGAGTGCGTGCTTGGTGGGGAGATGAGGTTGAGAGAACCACCAGTAATACAGCCACGGCTGTTTTCTTTTTCAATTCGTAAAACATAATTTTCATAGGGGTACGTTAGTTATCAGAGGATGGGCTTCCCATTGTCATAGCACTGCTGGTTGACAACCCTATTCCAAAGGGGAAAAAGAAAAGGAAGAAAACCTCCCTCCTGGCGAACAAAAACATTCCGCTTTCCACTGAGCAGAGGGCAAAGATCTGGCACCCCTGAGGTGGGTACTGAGGCCACACTGAGCTCTTAAGACCTGTGTCTGTCAGGGAGTGACTCTGGTCTGTCTCAATACCAAAGGAAGACATTTTATTTATTTTTTTAATATTTTTTGGCTTTTTTGGGTCACACCCAGCGATGCACAGGGGTTACTCCTGGCTCATGCATTCAGGAATTACTCCTGGCCGTGCTCGGGGGACCATATGGGATGCTGGGAATCGAACCCTGGTCAGGCCGCGTGCAAGGCAAACGCCCTACCCGCTGTGCGATCACTCCAGCCCCAAGGAAGACATTTTAAAGGCCGTAATGGAGAAACGCTGGTCTCTGGGAAAGGGTGTGGCCACAGACGCTTGGATGCTCAATTTCCTGCTTGTTCAGAACAGCAGAGAGCATTGGAGAATCACACGGGGCTTACAGCCATCACTGTCCACACTCTCCCCATTTCCTTTCCCTTTCTTTGTATTTGGAGGGGGTGGGGTGGGAATCATACCCTGCCATGCTCAGGCTCGCTCCTGTCTCGGCACTCAGGAATTGTTCCTATTACTCCTGGCCA